TCTTCATTTGGAAACTCTGTACCTACAAGGGTGAGTCAGAAATTATCCTCAACTCTGACTGTAGAATTTATTTTAAATCAACTTTTAGAAATGACATTTTTTGACATAATCTCCTTTTCAGTACACTTTGTCTGTCTGTCAACAATCTTTTGTATTCTCTTATTGAAAAAGATTTTTAGGCTGAGCTGCAAGCCACGAACGTACTGGTGTCTTCTTCATCAAAGATGAATCTTTGTCCTTAAAGGACTGCTTTCAGGGGACCAAACAGGTGGAAGTCCAATGGAGCAAGGTCAGATCTTTATGTAGGATGCTTTAACACCTCAAAAAGAGGTTTTTTCAGAGTGTCAACAGTGTGGGCTGAGGTGTGCAGATGGGCATTGTCAGGCAAGATCACAACGCACTTGGATAGCAGTCCTCTGAATTTAATCTGAAGTTTAGGCTTCAGCTCTTCAGTGAGTATCTCACTGTAATGAGCACTGTTATTGTTGAACTTTTTCCTGATGTTGTTGTTGTTAAGTGCCATCAAGTCAGTTTCAACCCATAGCGACCCTATATAGGGTTTCCAAGGAGCGACTGGTGAGCTTGAACCGCTGACATTGCAGTTCAAACAGCTTTGCGGTCTGGTGCATTAGCCCACAGCGCCACATAGTGTTCCAATAATGACCCTTGAGAATCCCAGAAAACTGTAAGCATCCATTTTCCAGTTGATGGTTGACTTTTGAACTTTTTCGTGGTCAGTGATTGAGGCTGTTTCCATTTCATACTCTGCCATTTACTCTCAGGCTCATAGTGATGAATCCCTGTCTCATCACCAATAATGATTTTTTTCAAGAAACTTTTACCTTCCTTTGAGTATCAGTCCAAATTTTGTTTGCAGATGTCCAAACACTTATGTTTATGGTCTCCCATGAGTTGTTTTGATACCCATCTCGCACAAACTTTTTGAAATCCAAGTCTGTCATGGATTATTCTATGGCTGATTTGCACTGATCTATCTGACAGAATCATTTCACATGCACATTCAGTGTTTTCATCAGCCATGAAGATAGATGTATATTTTAATAGAACCAGAATGCAGATAATTTTTGACTGAGCCTCATATATTATTCCCTCTTTTTTACTTGATGCATTTTTATTGTTATTGCAACCGTGTCTCTGGTTCTCTGTTTTCAGTCCCATAGGTCTGTTTTATTTGTTGTTGTTGTTGTTAAGTGCCGTCGAGTCGGTTCCGACCCATAGCGACCCTGTACAGGGTTTCTGAGGGTGTAAATCTTTACGGGAGTAGAAAGCCTCATCTTTCTCCCGCAGAGCGGCTGGTAGTTTCGAACTGCTGACCTTAAGGTTCGCAGCCCGATTCGTAACCACTACGAACACTTTTATATCTGGGTTGAGTTCGGAGTGATATTGTCATACATGGTAATCTCAGGTTATTGTCTGCTGTTTTTGGTTCTCTGACCAAAGCTCTCCCTTTGGTATTTTTCATAAGATTGTGCTGGTTTTTAGAATTTCTTTTCATTTCTATCTATCTATCATAAAATGGCCTAATTTTGTCATATCTGATAGACAGTTTTGCTGATCATAAGATTCTTGGTTGACAATTTTTTTCTTTCAGTTTTATATATGTATTCCATTGTCTTCTTGCCTGCATGGTTTCTGCTGAGAAATCAGAGCTCAGTCTTATTAGTTCTCCTTTGTAGGTAACTTGGTTTTCCTGAGCTGCTTTAACATGATTCTTTCCTGACTTTGGTTTTGAAAAGTTTGATTATAATATGTCTTGCTGTTTTTTCTTCTGGGTCTATCCTATGTGGAGTTCATTCAACATCTTGTCTTACATGATGTTTGGGAAGGTTTCTTCCAGTAACTCTGTGATAATATTATCTATGGGTTTTTCTGTCTCTTCCTTTTCTCGAATTCCAATCACATGTAAGCTATTACTCTTGATAGTATCATATATAAATCTTAGGCTTCTTGTAGATTTTTGTGTTCTTTTTTCTGGTTGTTCCTCTAGTGATGAGAGATTTTTCTTCAAGCTCAGTAATTCAGCTTTCCATTGATTCAGTACTACTTCTTTGCCATTTCAGTATATTATTTGTTTCTGAAATCTTAGTGTTAATCTTCTGGCTTTCTAATCGCTGTTTTCATAGGATTTTTGTGGGCGTTTTTTCCATTTATTTTGTCCATTTTTCCCCTGAATTCTGTAGTTTTGTCTGTTTTCCTTGATTTCATCTTCAGTTTTCTTGATCATTCTCTCAGTCCATTGAAATTGTCTCAATAGTTTTCTTTTGAATTCCTTATCGAGTAATTCAGTACCATTTATGGCATTATCTTTTCAGACTCTGATATTTTAGTCACTTGTTTAAGGCACTCTGTCTTGTTTCTTCATGTAAGCTGAAATTTACCTGTTTTCTCCAAGATATAGTGGTTGTCATCTTGAATGTAGTTTTCTGCTCGGTGTTTGTGAAGCGTTGTTCAGGGTGGGTATACATGCCTCCAGAAGCGTAGGCATATGCTTCTAGGTGGAACAAAGTCTTTTCAGGAGGGGGTACCACTGGGAGCTGGGTTGGGGATTGGTCAAGCCCCCAGCTACCAGAAGGGCATGGCACTGAGGGAAAACTGCACACCCATTGCCTCCAACCTCTAGCTGCTTCCAATGCCCGCAGACAGCTGTGTTAAAAGTTGCCTGCAAAAGCTCAAGATGGGCACAAACGCTCCAGTCTAGCCTACAATCCTCCTGGTTTTCCTTTAGTGCTCCTATTCAACTTCCTCTTACAGTCGACACTTAGTCCACTGTTATGTCTTACCCTCTGAAGCTCAGGGTCCCAGGATCACTCTCTCTAGCTGTTTCACTCGGTCTCCCATGACTTTGTTGCAGAGAATCTACTCAGTAGTACATCTGCCTAGCCCATCATTTTGCCTCAGAAGCCAAGGGAGCCATTCTCTTTGTTTTCCATGTGTCTCATTTATTGGGAATAGAAGTCAGAACAGGCTCTAATTCAGATCTTTTGTAGCCATATTATGACTGAGTCCTTTCTTCGGAGATTTGAATTTGTCTGAAAGCAACTGTAAAAGATGTCTGCATAGTATTTTCTTTACGTTTGCATATATTGGTACTTTTTAATAAGTATGTTTTAAGTTGAGCCCTGTTCCAGAGAAGCAGCAACACCAGAGATAGAGGCAGAGATGGGGACATGGAGAGAGGGAGCTTCTGAGAGGACACTAGATTCATGGGAAGAGAGGGACTGAGAGCTGGCGACCAGGAGGCAGACTTGCAGAATGGGCCCTTTGGTGGTTTAAATGATTATATATGACTGAGTGTTCAAAAAAAAGAGCTAAAATGAATAGAGAGAAATACTGTTAACTACTGATGGTACATGGAGGGGATTATAACCATTGTAATGAAACAAAGTATATGATTTGTTGAATGTAAAATTGATGATCTGCCCTGTAAAATTTTCACTCAATTCACAATAAAAGCTTTTTTAAAAAAGAAAAAAAGAGCCCTTTTGGTGCAGTGGTTAGGTGCTCAGCTGCTAGCCAAAAGGTCAGTGGTTTGAACCCACCTGTAATCTACACAAAGAAGACCTGAATTTCTTGATCTCCTACCAGGAGTGGGTTTTTTTTAAAAAAGAAAACACTGCTTCCGTTGAGTCAACTCAGATTTGTAGTGGATTCATGAGTCTCAGAGTAGTGCTCCATAGGATTTTCAATGACTGATTTTTCTGAAGTAAATATCCCACTTTTCTTCCAAGGTGTCTCTTGAGTGGACTGAAACTGCCAACCTCTTGGTTAGCAGCTGAGCACATTAACCTCTTGTACTACCCAGGGACTCCAGATGTTGAATAAATAGACCTTGGAGCATTCTTTGTTCTGTCCAAGCAAGGAACCATTCCCTCACCTTTGAAACAGGTGTCAGTATCTTTGGTTTGGTTTAATGGTTGCCCATGACTACTGGTGTGGCGCTGTAGGATAAGCGCCTGATTGTAAGGTCATTTTGAACAGCCAGGTTTAAACTCACCAGCCACTTCTCAGAAATCCTATGCAGGGTCTCTGTGACTTGACGGCACTTATCACAACAACATGACTACTGGAAAGAGTCACAGTCTTTACAATTCTGTTTTGATCATTTGGTGAAAAGAAGAGCTTAAGTTGAGGACTCATTATCTTGTAGACCATTGCTGTGAGTCAGTCCTGTAGGCGCTACTTACTTTCCTCCTGTCAGATTAAGAAGCAACAAGATTAGCCCCTCCTTCCAACTTGGAAATGCATACTGTCATTGTCCCAGCATCCCTGGTGTCTCCAAGGTGATTGTTTCAGCTGTAATTGGAACCAGGAGATGGCGTGCCTAGCTGTGCCCAGCTCCCCTTCTCTCCCAGAGCTCAGGGAACAGCACCATTTACAGTAAGAAAAGAATGAAAGAAGAGAACTGCAGTAAGTGCTAGAAGAACACCCCAAGGAGGAAACCTACTCTCAGGACTCTGTGGTGTGTGGTCCACAGGTACCTGACCCACCAAAGAAATTGGCATGTTAGTCATGGGGCCCACAAAACACGGCCCTCGAGTCCTTTTATGATCATACACAGTGCTCAGCTGCCCAAAGTAGGTGGGTCTGTACACCAGGCGGTGTTTGCAGGATGATATCAGGCCTCTGCCACGCGGGGCAGAAATGTAGGCCAAACCTTGAGGTTCTGACCATTGTACTCTCAAGTGTCCCCGAGCAAGGAAAAAAGAAAGGAGGTTGGCACTGGAACTCTCACAGCAAAGATTTGAAAGCTCACATTTTAACACTGAATCCTATACAGCCTCCATAGTCGATGCTGCCTTCCACAAGGAGGCTCTGCAGAGGCTTTGCTGTGTTGAATGTGCTTGCCTCATGGCCCCTGCCCCCAGCTTCCCTCCCCTGCCGTGAGCAATCACAGAACACTCTAACATCAGAGAGAAAGAGGTGTGGTCTGCCCCTTGTGTTGAGTGGCACTGATGGCAGCTTTGTTTTGTAACCCCCAGGTTCTGAAGATGGCATAGTAGCAAAGGCACCTTCCAATGACTGGGAGCACCTTTACCCATGGGTGCCAGCTTGGGCCACTGACTGAAGGAACGTTGAACTAAAGGAACGTGTCTACCACTTTCCTGAAAACCTCTTTCTCTCTTAATTCATGAGCCAGCAGGATGCAATCGCTGCGCTTTCAGAACGCCTTCTCATAGCTGCTTACAAAGGCCAAGCAGAGAATGTGGTTCAGCTCATCAACAAGGGCGCCAAGGTAGCGGTTACCAAGGTAACAAGAGGAGAAACTTTTTAGCCATTCCCTGGGAACTAGCCTACCTCTTAACCATTGTCTACAAAACTGTTGTATTTGGGTTGCAGCTTTCAGAGAACTTGCATTGCTTGCAGCAGTGGAGGTTTGCGGGGAAAGAGCAGGATTGAAATTATTTTTATTGCCATCTTTAAAAGGAAGTAATTTATGATTAGTGTTTCACAGTCTTGAGAATCATAGCATAGGTTTTTCTCACCTACTCATTTTAGCTAAATGGACGGAGGATTTCTTGGGAGAAGTTGGGAAACAAAAGCTTACTGGGAAAAGTAGATGTGGGGTAATCACATTAGACAGGCTGCCTAGGGAGGTTAACCAGCCACTCAGCTGTTGTGGCGTCATTAGCCCCATCTGTGATGAGGATGGCCGCTTGGACCAGATGAATGCCATGGCCTCTTTGGGCTGTGGTGTTGCATGGGTCAGTGAATGTGTGTTGAGCTTTGGAAGATATTCCCTATCCCACACCAACACCATAATTGTAGACAAAAGAACGCACTGGCCAGTGGTGATGCCTAACCCTTAACAGGTTCTTAGTATTTCTCTAAGCTCTTTACCTGCATTGATTCATGTCATTTTGTAGGATAAGCACTGGACTGCTAACTACAAGTTTGGGGGTTCAAACCCACCAGTTGCTCCTTGAAAATCCTATACAGGGTGGCTACTAGTCAGAACTGACTTGCTGTCACTTAAAAACAACAAAGTCCTTTAGTGTAATGCTATAGGCTAAGCACTGGACTGCTAACTACAAGTTTGGGGGTTCAAACCCACCAGTTGCTCCTTGAAAATCCTATACAGGGTGGCTACTAGTCAGAACTGACTTGCTGTCACTTAAAAACAACAAAGTCCTTTAGTGTAATGCTATAGGCTAAGCACTGGACTGCTAACTACAAGTTTGGGGGTTCAAACCCACCAGTTGCTCCTTGAAAATCCTATACAGGGTGGCTACTAGTCAGAACTGACTTGCTGTCACTTAAAAACAACAAAGTCCTTTAGTGTAATGCTATAGGCTAAGCACTGGACTGCTAACGGCAAGGTCGGTGCTTCAAACCCACCAGCTGCTTCTCGGAAACTTATACAGGGTTGCTATGGAGTCCTGGTGTGGTGCTGTGGGTCAATCCGCCAGACTGAAAAACCGTTTGAATTGCAAGGTCAGCTGTTTAAGCTCACCAGCTGCTCCTTGGAAACCCTATACAGGGTCCCTATGGGACTCAACGGCACTCGACATGAGTCGAAAACCACTGAGCGACATTTAACAGTAGCCAACAAGAGTCCTTTAGGTTCTACTTTCATCCCCACTCTAGAGATAAAGAAACTGAGATGCAGAGAAGTCTGAAGAAGCTGTTAATGTCCCACAGCTGCTCAATGGTGGAGCTGCAGGTGTTTGGATGTCCGCTCTCCATACCACCACACCACAGAAAGAACTGAGGGAGAGGGGTGGTTAATTAAAAAAATCTTAACAGTAACCTCTGAACTCCAGTGGCAAAGATTGGCCAGCTCACACTTCCTGGTTAATCATATGTAATCTCTATACAGTAAAACCTGTGGGAGCTGGAATGTGGCTCACTGCCTTGTTTTTCTGGCTCTCACAATCTCACAAGTTTTTACCCATTGACAGGGTACCATTTTACCACTTCTCTGTTGTTCATTTTAGTGGAAAGATTTGACCTTTCCTTCTCTGTCAGGTTTCCACCTTACCCAGGTTCTGCCTTTTGCAGGTGGTGGCTATGAGTTGGAACAAACTTGATAGCACTTCACAACAACAACAACAAATGCTTATCTCTAGAGAGAGAAAAATCTTGGTCTATTTGGTCTCACAGGGCTCTGCACAGCACAGGGTTTGTATAGTCGGACTGTCGAAGGTAGAGAGGAACCTTTACTCAGGCTTTGATGTGATCAACCTGCAGAAAGTCCAGGCCATCATGAATGGGTGCCTGCTCTCACATTTTAACTCTGCTGTTTGCTAATTGTGCATGTTACTCAACTTCTTTGAACCTCAGTTTCCTTACCTATAAGACAGAAATAATAGTTGCCAAACATGCATTATAATAGTGATAAGAGTAACCTTATGTAAAGCACTTGACACACAGCCAGTGCTGGAAATACTCTTCTCCAACAAATTGTCATTGGTACAAGACTGTTTTATAACAGTCTTTTTGATTATGTCTTTGAACTCTGCTGACTTTGCGGTCTGCAGCCCGATTCATAACCACTACGCTACCAGAACTCCTTAAAAATATATCCCATAAAATTCACCCCACCAAGAAACAATGTGTCCATTTACAGCTACAGTTTGAACCCTTAGGCAACCAGTCATCTACTTTCTGTTTTCTGTAGATTTGCCTTCCCTGGGCATTTCATTTACATGGTGTCATACACTGTGCAGTGTTTTGTATTTGGCATCTTTCACTTAAACACAATGATTTTGAGGTTCAGCCATACTGTAGTATGTGTTCCTCAAAATGTTCCTTCTGTTGCTAAATAATATTCTATTGTGTGGAGTCCTGGTGTGGCGCTGTGGGTTAATGTGCCAGATTGCAAATGTGTTTGAACTGCAAGGTCTGCGGTTCAAGCTCACCAGCTGCTCCTTGGAAACCCACCCTAAACAGGGTCGCTATGGGTCGGAACTGGCTTGATGGCATTTAAAAACACACCACATGTATATCCATTCACAACTTGGTGGACATATTTGGGTTTTATGGGTTTTTTTTTTCATTTGGGGGCTTGTTATAGATTGAATTGTGTCTTCCCAGAATATGTGTCGTAAATCCTAACCTCTATGCTTGTGGTTGTAATACCTTTGGGACATGACTTGTCTTTCTTAATAAGAGAGCATGAATGTAGTATGGGTCTTAAATCAGTCTTTTTTGAGATATGAAAGATCAAACAAGCAAGCAGATGACACAGAGTTTAAACAAGAAATCAGAAGACACAAAAGGGGGTGAGCAATGCCAAGCCAGATGAAGATCTCCTAGGAGTCAAACTGCAAGAGAGACATGGATCTTCCTCCAGAGTTAACAGTAATCTTTTCCCTAGAGCCAGTGTTCTTCATTTGGATTTCTAAACTATGAAAAAATAAATTTCTTTTTATTAAACCCATCTGCTTGTGGTGTCTCTGTTATATAGCAGCACTAGATAATCACCATGCATCTGTCAAGCTGTGGTGACTTGTGTGGTTCTGTGAGTCTGGAAGTTACAGCACTGGTATTTTAAATACCAGCAGGGTCACCCATGGTGGACAGATTTCAGCTGAGCTTCCAGACTAAGACAGACTAGGAATAAGGAGAAACAGACTACTTCTGAATGTTTAGTCACTTAAAGACCTATGAATAGCAGTAGAACATTGTCAGATATAGGGTCACCAGATGAAAACATTATGAATAGCACCAGAATATTTCAGATATAGTGCCAGAAGATAAGCTCCTCAGATTGGAAGACACTCAGATATGACTGGGGAAGATACTGACTGTGATGATGCAAATGGAATAAAGCTTTCTGGACCTTCATTTGCTAATGGGCACATCTCACAATAAGGAGAAACAGCTGCAAACATTCATTAATAATTGGAACATGAAAAGTATGAAGTATGAATCTAGGAAAATTGCAAGTTGTCAAAAAAATGAAATGGAACTCAAAAAGATCAATATCCTAGGCTTTAGTGAGCTGAAATGGACTGGTATTGGCCATTTTGAATCTGACAGTCACATGGTTTACTATGCCGGGAATGACAAATTCAAGAGAAATGCGTACACAAGAACACCCAAACTTGCAGATAGTATCCATTAGACCTAGCCTCGATGGCTTGATAATCAGAACTTGCCTAGAGGAATATTTGGAAAAAAAAAACAAAAACACACAACAATTTTTGATAAAGGAAACAAGGATAAATTGCTACAATTTGATGAACTTGACCTATACTCGTGGAGGTAGTAGCTCAAAATACCAACAGAGAGAGAAGGAGTCTTCACATCAAGCATCAGTGCTATCCCCTCTGTATACAGGGTAGATAGGGATGGGCAACTTAGACATTGGCTACCTAAAATGAGGGGGTGATAAAGGCATGAAGTGACTGGCTTACATGGTTTCAAGAGGGGGTTTAGTTTAAGAGGGGGGTGGGAGATAGAGTCCCCACTGAATAGTTTTCATCTTGTCTAGATGGGTCTGGTAAAAAGAGATGGGGAGAAGATTCTTATGATTCAATAGTCAATTGTTATCATGACTGACTATGACTGTCACAATTGTAAAGGTAGAAGAAGTTTTGTAACAAAAATGAGGGAGTAGTTAATCTTAATAGGCCAGAAACAGAGGACCTTAGGACTATCAAGGGAGAAGAGCACAAGCAGAATGCAGGACCCTATCTAGAGAAGCAGTGATGCCAGAGATGGAGGCAGAGATGGGGACATGAGAGAGGAAGCAGCTGAGGACTCTAGATTCATGGAAAGTGAGGGACTTAGGGCTGGTGGACAGGAGACAGACTTGCAGAATGGGCCCTTTGGTGATGTAAATTATTATATATGCCTGAGTGTTCAAAAAAAAAAGAGCTAAAATAGAAATACTGTTAACTGATGGTACATGGAGGGGATTATAACCATTGTAATGAAACAAAGTATATGATTTGTTGAATGTAAAACTGATGATCTGCCCTGTAAACTTTCACTAAACTCTCAATAAAAACTGTAAAAAAATATTTAGTTGAGAGAGAGAAATGCGTAGCTATCATCATCAAAAAAGAACATTTCAAGATCTATCTTGAAGTACAGTGCTATCTGTGATAGGATAATATTCATACACCTACAAAGAAGACTAGTTAATGACAATATTATTCAAATTTATGCACCATCCATTAAAGCCAGTGACAAAAAGTGAAAAATTCTACCAAATTCTTCAGTCTTAAATTGATTAAGCATGCAATTAAGATGTATTGATAACTACTGGTGATTGGAATGTGAAGGTTGGAGATAAAGACG